ACGCACACATTGCCGCCGTCAGTGGACCGGGTCGGATCGGGTTTGAGTCTCACCAGACACCTCCGTATGGCTAAAGACTATAGATTATTTTGCTATGTTTTATTTCTTTTTTGGATAAAACTAAATAAAAGACACAACCATTCGTTTTAAAAGAAAGGTCATGAACTTTCTTTTAATGGGTGTCTTTTGGGTTAGAGACTCCTGACCAGAGCTCTATAAATACCCGCCTTGTCTTCCATTTTCGGATATTCGAAAATTATCACACAATCCTCCATATTACATCTTCCTGCGTTGCATCTTTGAGTTTGCCGGAATCCCGTTGGGAGCGAAGAACCGTTCTATCCTGGGAGACGATTGCTACGTATGTCGGGCAAAAACGACTTAAGAAAACAACGCTTAAGTTGGGCTTGGTTACAAGTAATCTTACGTTTTTCCTTAACTATTTATTCGTTATTTCATTTCATTGCAGAATATTGTACATACTTTTTTTTTGAACCGGAAACTCGCCTCTATTCATATCATTAGCTTCAGGATCGTTACATCAATCAAAGGAAAATCATATATGACACCAACTAACATCCACAAACTACGACTGTAAACCTTATGATCAGACTTAGAGACGGTCACCCCTGAAAAAGCAACACGAATCGCTAACCACGAAGCGGGCTTAATATAGCTATCCATATTCCCATACATCCATTATCCATATATTCCCAACGACATAAAATAGGCTAAGTTTCCAAACAAACCGGCATACCTAACAACATAGACGTAAACAAGAATCCAAATGACAAAATAATAATAACCAATATGATAACTTTCACGGGCCCTAGCACCTCGTTCAACCCATTGTGGTGGTTCAGGAGGAGGCCGGATCATCGGCACCACTCTAATTGATCCTCCATTGTTAATCGAAATCAGGCCTACTTGATCCTCGTTCAACTTTCCTCGTCCCGCACTTGTAGCAAAACCGCGGCTAGCGGTTCTCTTTTTCGCTGCCAATCCCTATGATGCAATCATCTCACAAATCCAGACTCCACCGCGAACAATCTGCAAAAAAAGAGACGAGTAATACAAGCAGTCTCGTGCTCAACTTTTCCGAAGAGGATGGATCGCCAGACTTGCACAAAAACCCAAACCCTAATCACTAGGGAGACGGCCGCAACGACAAACCGAGCCAGGTGACCGGAGCCACCAACGGAAAAACTTCTAGGAATATATCCTAGAGACGGCCGCACCTTAGGGATTATATACTCCCGCTCCTCAGCGAATCCAATCAATATGGGCTACGTCTGCACCCCACAACCTCTAAATTGACAAAGGAGTCACGATCTTCTTCTTCCTACTGAATATTGTACATACTTATAACATCGCATAGTGGAAACCTAGCAAAAAATAGTAAATCAATAAAATTCAACTATGAAAACCCAAATGATATTCTATTACGTATAACTTAATTATGATGAAGGCTATGCGACAGCATACAAAATGTCGTAGATATACTGTATACGGATTCCTTGTACACTAATAACTTCTCTACTCTTCTTAGAGCATCACCAATGGAGGAATGTCTAGTCTAAAAAAAGTGTGCCACTTGTCAAATATATAAAAGGCTTTCTAATCCACTTAATACCATGTTTAGTGACTGTATTTTAAAATACAAAAAAGACTTCCAATGCATCAAGTCTAACGGTTCAAGTCAAATGTCCAGGTGGAATGCTAAACTAACGACTTCTGCGATTTTCTAAAACCTAACTTCCCTGATCTAGTTTCCAGATTCAACCTCACGATTTACTTTTCCCAAATGTTGTACTGCCTAATATGCACTTCTATATTTCCAGACTTTAATTTGTAGTTACAACAGTTAACGTGTACAAAGCTAGCCTCAATGTTAGAAACCTGCTGAAATGATTGCATGTTAAATCAGTGACAGTATTTCAACTCATTTTGGGTTTTTCAACATTGAATTGAATAAACTAGCAACTGCTATTCATTCAGAATGTTACTTCACTTTTGGACAATGCTAACATTAGGATTTGGGCCATTTATATACTAATAGGTGTGTTGTATCATAAAGTGAGTCTCAGCAGTCCCTACTGCTTGAGAAATGAGAGTATCATATATACATACATATAAGACAAAGCTTGCACACTAGGAAAGATTAACATAGTGGCTTCTCATCTGCATTGGAAATAAACTTGCATAGAAACCAACATGCACAAAACGTAGTGGCTTCTCATCTGCATTGAAAAGAAACTTGAATAGAAACCAACATGCACAAATTAAAGTAAAGTAAGTGTCTGAATAATATGAATGCTTTAATCATATTGTACTTACAAATTTGTCTCTCCAAGTACGATTAGAAAGGTTCGATGTTTGAAATATTAGTGTGTTAGAAAGAATTGAATTAACTCATTATGGCGTTTTCATATTGTACGTAACATTGATATACATCAATAATATAATATTCATCTCTACTCTTTATGGTATCAGAGCACACCACTCTCTAACGAGATCATTTTTTTTCAATCCACACCTTTGAGTCACTATGATCATCACTAACAATACTACTGTCGTTCCCATCACGGCTGCAAACCATTTCCCAATTAAGCTCATAGCTTCAAATTTTCCTGTCTGGAAGTCACAGGTGCACGCAGCTCTTATTGGTCTCGGGCTTGAGGCTTACGTTGATGGCACTGTTCAAGTTCCGAATCAGTTTCTCGACGCAGTCAAAACACAACTTAATCCTCACTATACTATATGGTACCGTCAAGATAAGACCATACTCAGTGCTTTGTTGGGGAGTTGCTCCGACACCCTTCAACCACTTATTTCATCAGCATCTACTGCACGATTGGCATGGGAAAAATTAGCCCTCACATACGCTAGTACCTCCCGTGGCCGTATCATCTCTCTCAAAACGATGCTTGCTCGTACTCAAAAAGGATCTCGATCTATCACTGAGTATTTAGCGGAAATGTATGCCATTTCTGAAGCACTTGCCCTGGCGCAAAATCCTATACCCGAAGAAGATATGGTGATAAGCATCCTGAATGGACTCGGACAAGAGTACTCTGAATTAACCTCTGCTATCCGGGTTCGCTCTGAAGCCCTTCCTATTGTTGAACTCCAGGAGATTCTCTTGGAACATGAAGGTAGACTTTCTGCACCAACTACAGAGGTTGCTTCTATGATTCCTACTGCGAATGTGACTCAAGTTGGTGACAGGTATGTCTCACATGACCGAAGGTTGCAACCTCAGAATTCTCGTCGGGGAACTTTTCCTCGTCGTGGTGGTTTTCATCCCAACAACCCCCGATCGCCGACCTTGAATGTTACATGTCGTTACTGTGAAAACTCGGGTCATGATGTTCGTCAATGCCGCAAGTTACAAAGATTTTTACGGGAGAATCAAGTCCCATACTCTAATGGGCCTACAATTAATCATACCATGACCACATCATCTTCTAACAGTCAACCATGGCTGTTTGACAGTGGGGCTTCTCACCATGTTATTTCTGATGCTTCTCAGCTTCCTGCCTACACCGATTATGGTGGTCCTGAGGAAGTTCACCTTGGTAATGGTAAGACCCTTCCTATTACTCACACTGGCCATACAACCATCCCCACTCAATCCAGTTCCTTATCCTTATCTAATGTTTTATGTGTTCCTCAACTTAATAAAAATCTGGTTTCCGTGGCTAAATTATGCAAAACTAATCCTGTTACTGTTGAATTTTTTCCATCTCATTTTATTGTCAAGGATCGAGTAACGGGGGCACCATTACTTCGCGGGGAGAATCGTGATGACATATACTATGCACCTGCTCTCAGTCTACCACAAGTTAATACCACTCAAGTCCAACCTCTCATTCCTTGGCATCATGTGTTCGGTCATCCGTCTCGTCGTATTTTCAATATTTTAGTTACTCAAAATAAACATTTATTTCCTAATAAAGTGGCAGATGATTTCCATTGTAATTCGTGTTTCGTTAATAAAAGCACCAAGTTACCTTTCTATATTAATTCCATGCATGCCACTCGCCCACTTGAATTAATTTATTCCGACGTTTGGTGTAACTCAGATGTGTCTGTGGATGGTCATAAGTATTATGTCAGCTTTGTTGATTTTTACACCCGTTATATCTGGTTATATCCTTTAAAACAAAAATCCGAAGTTTCAATCATCTTCCCTCAATTTCATCGTTTGGTTGAGAAGTATTTTAATTTTAAAATTATTTCTCTCTTTTCCGATAATGGCGGGGAATATATAAAATTAAAATCCTATCTCAACCAATATGGAATTTCTCATTTTACCACCCCACCTCACACACCTGAACATAATGGAGTCGCTGAACGTCGGCATCGTCACATAGTTGACATTGGACTCACGCTACTTCATTACTCGGGTCTACCCATATCCTATTGGCCGTATGCATTTCAGACTGCAGTCTATCTCATTAACCGTCTTCCTACTCCAGTCCTTAATAATGATACCCCGTATTACCGTTTACACAATAAGCATCCCAATTACACCAAACTTCAGCCGTTCGGATGTCTGTGTTATCCTTGGTTACGTCCATACTCTACTACCAAGACCCAACCTAGGTCCAAACCGTGTGTTTTCATGGGCTACTCTAATTCCCAATCTGCATATTTGTGTATGGATCCTAGTTGTGGTCGTATTTATGTTACGCGTCATGTTCGGTTCGTTCCGTATATTTTTCCTTACTCTAAAAATTTGACTAATTCCTATCCGTCAAAGGTGCTGGTGTCATGCGATTCTTCTGCGAATTCAGCAGGTGGTTCCTCGTCTCTCGATCCGCAAATTCATCCTGATCCACTCATACCCCCTACATATTTATCTCAAGCGTCCTCACCACCTACACCTTCCACTATTTCCTCACATTTATCTACCTCAAGCCATCTGTCAACCTTATCTACCCCTTCTGTACCTCACTTACCTCACACTTCTTTCAATAATTCTCCAACTGATTCCCCTCATCCTTCCCTCCCTTTAATACCCACTTCCACACAAACCCAGCTTACTGACATGTCCCATACCCCACAACTAAACACCTCCCCTCATGCTACCACCTCCAATCCGTTCTTATCCATTCCCCACAATTCCAATTTTGTTCCCAGTAGTTCGGACCCCTCCCCTACTCTCCTGCAACCTTCCCCACCTTTACCTCGTCCTTCCCGTCACAGGAAACCCAATTCCAAATACCTAGGTGAACCGTTTGTTAATACTACCACCACTCACCCCATCCCTTCTATCCTTGAGCCTACCACTGTGAAATTTGCACTTCAGGACCCCAAATGGAAGGCAACTATGGATGAAGAGTACTCTGCTCTTCTACGGAACAAAACCTGGGAATTGGTTCCACATACGGGTACTTCTCCTATTTCATGTCGTTGGCTATTCCGAGTCAAGCGCAATGCTGATGGGAGTGTAGCACGATTTAAAGCGCGTCTTGTTGCTCGTGGCTACCTTCAGCAACCCGGACGGGATTACACAGAAACTTTTAGTCCGGTTACTAAGCCGGCCACAATCCGTTTGGTTCTCACCATAGCTCTCTCCCGAAACTGGGATCTCCGACTGCTAGATGTAAATAATGCATTTTTGCATTGATCTTTAACCGAAGAGGTATACATGACTCAACCTCCGGGATATGTTGATGCTGCTCATCCTACACATGTATGCCGTCTTAGGAAGGCCTTGTACGGCCTCAAACAAGCTCCCAGTGCATGGTATATGGAACTCTCTCGTTTTCTTATCTCTGTTGGATTCAGAAAGTCTCAAGCCGACCATTCTCTATTTATCTATTCACATGATGGGGTTCTGTTATACTTTCTGGTATACGTTGATGATATATTGTTCTCACTGGCAGCTCTACGGCGGCAATCAATATGTTTATTCATAAGCTTACAACTCGTTTTTCTATCAAGGACTTGGGACACCTACATCATTTTCTTGGAATTGAGGTTATACCATCATCCCGGGGTATTTTCTTATCCCAACGGCAATATATTCTTAATATTTTGGACACTTTTAAAATGACGGGTGCTAAGGAGTCCTCTACTCCTATGACTTCTGCGGCTCTCACTAGTGGTCCTAGTGACTGTCCTATGCTGGATCCTAAACTTTATAGGAGAGTTCTTGGCCTCTTGCAGTATTTGGCATTCACTAGGCCAGATATTTCGTTTGTTGTGAATCGTCTCTCTCAACATATGCATTGTCCATCCGATCATCATTGGCAAGCCGTCAAACGAGTGCTTCGATACTTAAAGGGTACTATTAATTTTGGTCTCTTTTTGCATCGTAATTGTCCTTTGCAGCTTACGGCATTTTCTGATTCTAGTTGGGGGAATGTTTCTGATGCTGGTCATTCCACTACGGGATATGTTCTATATTTAGGCCCTAATATTATTTCTTGGAAGTCTGCTAAACAGAAGTGTGTGTCCCGCTCGTCTACGGAGGCAGAATATCAGGCTGTCGCTAATACCACGGCCGAGCTCTTATGGGCACAAAATATCTTACGTGAACTTGGGATTCAATTACCTACCAAGCCAGTTCTCTACTGTGATAATTTAGGGGCCACATATGTTTGTGTTAATCCAGTTTTCCACTCCCGAATGAAACACTTGGCCCTGGATTATTTCTTTGTTCGTGAGCTGGTTGAGCAGGGTGCCTTACGGGTTCAACACATCTCTACCAAGCTTCAAATTGCAGACATCTTGACAAAACCACTGGGACGTGATTTATTTGAAAAATTTCGTCTCAAGTTGGGAGTTTCCAAAGGAACCTCCATCTTGTGGGGGCGTAATAACACATAATTATATTTTATTTATAAATTGTACATTCTGTAATTATCATCATACACGTATGAATGTTTATCATCTCCACTATTATAGGTCACTTAGTTTAGACGTAGTCATCTGCTCAGTTAGTTAGAAGGAGTCATCATCCAGTATACTTCATTTGTATAAATAGGCACCATGTACGTAACATTGATATACATCAATAATATAATATTCATCTCTACTCTTTACATATAATCACTCACCCTCCTCCATTAGCAAATAGCACCTCTGTGTATATGCTTCATGGGCTAAACAATACAGACTCGACCATATCATATTTATTAAACATCAATCTCACAAGGTAAAGTCAAATTCATAAGCGGTAAAACTAATATTATTCAAACAACATCTCAACTTAGATACTCCTAAATCCAAAGAGACAAAGACACATACCTAGAATCAACAAGTCAAATTTCTTGAGGTAAAATTAATATATTATCCCAGCAACAGCAGCACTTATTTACTCGATTGATTCTATTTTCTTACTTAAATAGAGACATACCTAGAATCATTCGACACAAATAAATTAGTAGTCAAATTACTTGCAAGATTTAGCTTATGATTTTTGTTTGCTTCCCCGTTTCTAATGTGTTGTAAGCTAGTTATCCAATAAACTAGCAGGTGAAAGTGTACATATGTCATTGAGGCTTTTACAAATGATTAATCTCTCTAAGGTAAATGGAGCCACTTCCCGTCTTATACACTATGTATTACTCCCTCCGTTCCTCTGTTATTGTCTCATTTCATATTCACTTGATCAACACAAATCACTCTTAATCTTTTACTTTATTTATCAAATTTTTATCAAATTTGATTCTGGTTTTTGCGACTTTGTAAATCTTTTAATGTAGTTTCAGAATATGTATTTTTTTTTTCCTAAAAATAATTTGAGTGCGGACAGGGATCTGCTTGCTTTATCGTCGGTCAAACATCGTAAACCGCAATGAGACAATAACAGGGGGACGGAGGGAGTACAATTATATAAAGAAAACATAAAAATCATACTTTTAGAATTCAATTTAATCGCATTCAATTGATTAATTAAAAAAACACATCGTTGAAAGAAACAAAAGATTCATATGATTTATTTACAAAACGTGAACCCAACAAAATCATATAAATTACAAAAGCACGTTCAGGCTTATAAAATGAAGGAATTATCATCTACGAAATTACAAATGAGTAATTAATGAAATCAAAATTTGTTTTCAAGTAATCGACGCAAACAAATCTACTAACTTGTCAAAAAATTACAAATCTAACACTCGGAATCGGCATTTCATGAAAGTATAACGAGAAAAACAAACTTTTGACGTACCGCTTTACGATTTCACCAGATCCAAAACTTTCGATAATTTGGAGAAATAGTCTTAAAGAACGATTCTGATAATCGACAAACTCCAGAGCTGTTTTCAGGTTCCCTCCAGTTTTTTCTAGGAATCGCGCTAATTTGGGATGTAATTTGTCAGAGTCAGCAAGTTAATCAGGTTTTCTATACTCGAACAAGGCTCTTCACACCGTCTGAGTTTTTTTTGCCAGCTCACCAACACTAGAATGCGGGATACCTGCGTTGGAAACAAAAATAAGTACATAGTGCGTAAATGATTGACGTGGTGCACAATTCCTAGACTAAACATTACCGCATTGAGGTTGCTCTTATAAGTGATGATATGAAGGAAGACCAAGTGTCTACATTTGAATTTTAAAATAGATTTTCAATTCTACATTAGGACTAAAATCCGGAAAGTATGGAAAAATATACTCTTATTTAAGTATAAGGTCATTTTTACTCCTACTTTCACCCATTTCTTTATCTCTATCGAAATAATACCTAAAATCGTACTAAAATAAGAATAACGTTTATCATTAAGACTATTATTGTTTATTTTAAAATATGGCTCACCCACTCATATTTTCAAAAATTTTAATTAGATTAAATAAAAGGAAAATCGCACTTTTAATCTCTGAAATAGTCACCATATTCAATCGTCAGACCTGTGTTCCTGAAATGTACAATGTAAGAGAGGAGTACATTTCACTCATCAAAAGACCGTATTTTCAACTTTGTCTATGGTTTGCTCGGATATGGTGCAATTTCTCATCTTTAATTCTCGTGTAACATGACATCCAAACTCCTTTATATCTGCCACAAATTTAATATTCTCTCACTCAACAAAATCAATGGATTACCACCCTACTATGCTGGAATCACTGAACCTGCGAGTTGTGTTCAACGGCTACAAAATCCTCATCCTAGCCCAAGGCCAAGGCTCTGCCACGAACCGCCGTCAACCCTCGACCTTCTTCAAATCGAGTGGTGTGAACATTTGGTACGATCTAAAGTCGAGTCTCGTCTCGTCTCTTTTTGCTATCCATACATCCTTTCTTAATCATTATTGCCGAAAACTTTTGACTATGGATGTTATGTTATCTTAATTAATCATTCTCCTTGACTTTACAGCTTGAACGGCACACAATCTCAGCTCTAGAGAGGTATCTCACCTTCTCCCTCGCTTTATACCTCGCCATCACAACAGAACCTTTCGTCTACCCTCAGATCGACCGCAGTATCCAGCGCACCGTTCGTCAAGTATCTCCAGGTCGGTGGTCGTTTTTTTCCTATCTCTTTCCAACTTTTCCCAATCTTCTATTATACGTTCTTCTAACTTGGTTTAATTTTTCCAATCCAGCTCCGCCTCATCGTGTCCGTCTCACCGTCCTTCCATCCACGGCCGCTGCTCAACTAAGAGAGAAAGCTAAATGATCGATTGGTCGATTGACACTTATTCCAGACAGCTAGTAAGCACAGTTGCATTTATCTTTTGTGTAAAAGTTTAAATTTAATCTGATTTACTATCTGATTTATGTAGTAATTACATTGTGTAAGTTATAGTTGTTTTTTGATGATTTATATATTTTGCCAACATGTATTTCTTTAAATCTTTTCTTGCTTGCGAGCAAAACATTTCCCTAATTCTCCTATTCAGCTTTAACTATTGTATTTAATCTAATCTTAACAAGCTTTTGAAAATAAAATCTTGATGTGAAACTTCCTTTCAAGTATATTTATTTATTCATTCTAATATTGTTGAGCTAACTATCTGTTATTTGACTATCTGTTATTTGACTGACTTCTAAGATTTTCTCTTTAAATAGATGTTGAACTGAATAGATAGATGATTTTACATATTTTCTGTCCTGTTCTATTTTTAAAGGGAATATCATATAGTGGAGTATAATAAGGAGTATAAGTCTTTCAATTGACATTTTCAGCATTTCCGAAATGTTTTGTGTGTTGCATAATCATTTATCCTGATCTTAACTTCGTATCAAGTATATATAAATTGGTTCTATGATGGGGAAATCAAACCTTCCATATCCAGGTGAAACTTTCCTTACGCACTCCTTGCAAGCTAAGTAGTATCAGTGTTCTCTGGTCTTGATATCAGTGATATTCCTAGCTATCCAAAATCAGCCCACCTTTAAGTGAAATAGCTAGTGATTAAAAGCTTAGCAATAAGTTTAACTAATTTTAGAGTACTATAAGTTTAGCACCTACCAAATTATTTGAAAACAGTGGTTTAGTGACTCTAGACATTCCTTCTTTGTTTTCATAGGCAGTAAACACAATCCGTGTGCCATTAAAGCCGTCATCCCTATGAACGTCAAACCTGTAATCAATACATAACTACATTCTTGTATTTTGCCATCTCTCTTTTGGATAGATTTGTAATGAGCTTTGAAGCAAAGTATGAACTCGAGACTGTCACATCTCCTCTTAAGAAATAATTGTTAAAAATCTTTTCAGCAATGATCATTGAAGATAAATATAAAAAAATCACCCCTGCTAAATTTTTGGTTTGCAAAACAAAACGGCAGCTAACATAAAAATAGGATGTTTTTTGTATGATTCTAGGATTGCATCCCCATAGTTGCCCCAGTGTGTACTTTGCTTTTCTTTAATTGCAAGTTTTAGTCCGTTAACAAACCCAACCTTTTGGAGAGAGTTGTTTCAGTTTTTAATTGCTTACTCATGATCTTCCAAAATAACTTCATTCAACTTTTGGTTTTAACCACTGTACTCTTGATCGAGATTCTGGTTTATGAATAGGAACTATTCTTCCGACCACATATGAGAATTAAACAATGAAGTAATTAAAACCCTATTGTGGCCAATTGAAAGAGCTTAATATAATTAAACCTTACCAAAAGAGTTGTTTTCATCAACGTGATCGCTGTTTCTAAGTTCATAATTCATAAAACGACCTGGTCCCATCAGAAAACTCCACCAAAGTTGTCTTGTAATTAAACATTATGTTAAACCTATATGTGGTGGTTTGTATTTCATTGTGTTAAGAGTAACACTGAAATTTCTTAAAGTGTACAAATTTACCTCTTTCAATCCATGTTGGAAATTTCTTAGAATGTACGTAGTATGTAGTATGAATTTCCCTAAAAAAAGTATGAATTTCCCTCTTTCAGTACAAATTTAATTTAATATTCTCTCACTCCAGGAAACCGATGGGTCACCACCCTAATTTGTTGGAATCACTGAATGTGCGAGTTGTGGGCACCGGCGACAAAATTCTCGTCTTAGCCCACGGCTCCGGCACCGACCAGTCGGCGTGGCGGTCTATTTTCCCTCACTTTGTACGGAACCACCGTATCATCCTTTTCGACCTCGCTTGTGCTGGCAGCGTCAACCCCGACTGTTTTGACTTCCGGCGGTACACAACTCTCGACGCGTACGCTGATGACCTCATCAACATTCTCGACCTTCTTCAGATCGAGCAGTGCGCCTACGTCGGCCACTCCGTCTCCGCCATGATTGGAATCCTCGCTGCCATTCGCCGCCCTGATCTCTTCTCAAAGCTCATCCTCATTGGCGCTTCCCCAAGGTAATTAATCAAGAACAATTATTATATTATTGTAGCTTTAATTCCCATGTTAATTCCACTATTATTTCTCCTAATAAAAATGATGGAAAAGTTTATGAACATTTGGTACAATCTAAAGTCGAATATGGTCTCTTTTTGCTGTCCATACATCTTTTTTAACTATCGTTGTCGAAAACTATTGACTATGATGTTATTTTATTTTAATTAATCATTCCGTTGGCATCATATTTCTTTCTTCTTGACTTTACGAACAAGTTGTTTTTATAAAAGTTGATACATAAAGGTAGCTTCTATTGTTGCATTTATGAAAGGTGAAACTACAAAAAGACCTTGTGTTACAATATTATTCTTATTTATCTCAAGTATATAAACAATACCCCCAATATCTTCTGGGACTAAGGCTTGGATGGTGTTGTTGTATATAAACAATACCAGAGCATTGAAGAAGTGAATTTCATTAATTTGTTGCTATTTCATATAATTTCAGTGTATATGGGCATATATACTGAAGTGATAAAATTAAAAAAGCATTTGTCTGAATCACAACATAGTTCTTCACATCCAAAAGGAGCATATTTTATGTTCAAATGAGCTTAATATTAAAAAATAAAGGGGCCGTTTGGTAACATTGTTTTTCAGCCTATCAGGTTTATCAACCAACTTTTTTACCAAACACGTAAATTTTGCTTTCGCGCACTGAATTGTGTAATAAGCAGAAAAAGTAAGGTTGAAGTTACTTTTCTGGCAGTATTGGCTGAAGTATAATTTTTTCTTTATTTTATTAATAAATATATTTTAAAAAGATTTTTTTCTTAAATTAGCAAAATAAGCCAATGTAGCCACTTCAGTCAGAACTTCATAAATTTCAGTAGAATCAGGCAAAACAGCCGATTTTCGTGCTACCAAACGGGCTCTAAAAATAATATTGGCTGCAAAAAAGTATGTATTGTCGTCATACTATAATATCTGATAATGTCATATTTTGATTTAAAGAAGGAAATAAATAGCAAGTGATAAAGTAGGTGAGAGAAGATAATTTAAGATAATATTCATCAGTTTTGCCATTTTAGAATTGTTTTCTGTACCGGTAAAGTTGATAAGAATTGTTTCAAATTTTCAAGGTTCTCGAACGACGAGGACTACCATGGAGGATTTGAGCGAGAAGAGGTGATGGAAGTATTCTCCGCGATGCAAGAAAATTACGAGGCATGGGTGAGGGGGTTCGCTCCGCTGGCGGTGGGAGCGGATGTGCCTGCGGCAGTGCAAGAATTCACCCGGACGCTATTCAATATGCGGCCGGACATAACGCTGTTCGTGTCCCAGACGGTGTTCAACAGCGACCTGAGGGGGGTTTTGGGCCTGGTGAAGTGTCCCTCCCACATCATTCAGACGGCCAAGGATGCGTCAGTGCCGGCATCGGTGGCGACGTACCTGAAGAACCACCTTGGAGGGCGGAACACGGTGCACCTCTTGCCCATAGAGGGGCACTTGCCGCACCTGTCTGCCCCGGGGATGCTGGCCCAGGCCATAAGGCAAGCTCTCGCCTCTGGACTGGGAAGTGAGTAGTTTTTGGGCCCGTAATCGTGCTGTTTATTACGGAGGAGCAACGAATAATAGGCCTGTGGTCTACTTTGTTCTATATAATCCTTCGAGTAATAATAGTGTTACTCCATACGTTTAACACTTTAACTTGATCTTGATCCAAAAAAACGTTTAACTTGATCTGTATATCATATGTTTTACTTGCAAAGTCACAAACTAACTCTTATTTTCCGCATGTCAATTAAAAAAAAATCTTTTTCTGACTATATGAAACTTAAGTTCAGCTTGATGGACGTTCTATATTTGATTTGAGCACCTTAAAGCTCCATAAAATTGTTCAATGTACGAGTTTAGTTTATGTGTGTAATTGGCTCGTGCTTAGGAGTGGACTCGGGCCGGGCCAACCGGCCCGCTACTGTGCGGGCCCGGACCGGCCCGGTTTGTCGGTTAGGTCACGGTTTCGGGCCTTCCGGCCCGGTCATGTAGCGGTTCGGGCCCGGGCTGATATTTTGGTGAACCGGCCCGGCCGGGCCGGGCCCGGTCCGGGCCTCAACGGTCACAAAAAAAAAATTTAAATATTTGAAGGCTCTACTAGCCGTTGGGAGCATAGGAGGGGGGTCTGGGGGGTTAGGGGGGGTGGGGTATACAAAAAAAACCTATTTATACTCCTATTTTCTATACATTTTTTACACCTTCTTCTACAACTCTTCCTACTCTCTAAATTCTCTATTCTCTCAATCTCATATTCAATCATCTTCATTCTTCATCTTCTCCAAATTCTTTCTACATATATATAATTTATATAATTATTATATCTACTTATATATTATAATATTAATTATCTACTTATAAATATATACTTATACACATTCATATTATAATTCTTTACGCATTATATTATATACTATATATTGTTATACATTATATTATATATTACTTATAATATATTTACACATTATATATTTATATATACTATATATAGTTATACATTATATTATATATTACTTATAATATATTTACACATTATATATTTATATATACTATATATAGTTATACATTATATTATATATTACTTATAATATATTTACACATTATATATTTATATATACTATATATATATAAATTACTTAATTTATATATACACTTCTCGTTTATCTATTTAATTACTTAATTGTTTCATTTGTCATATTAATATTAGTTAAAGTAGTTAAAGTTAATTGTTTCATTTGTCATATTAATATTAGTTAAACTACTTAATTGTTACATTTCTCATATTAGTTAATTAGTTAATTGCTACATTTTTACATTTCTCATATTAGTTAATTGCTACATATCTCATTAAAGTAAAAAAAACTAGTTAATTTTTACATTTCTCATATTAGTTAATTAGTTAATTGCTACAATTTTACATTTCTCATATTAGTTAATTAGTTAATTGCTACATTTTTACATTTCTCATATTAGTTAATTGCTACATTTTTACATTTCTCATATTAGTTAATTAGTTAATTGCTACATTTTTACATTTCTCATATTAGTTAATTGCTACATTTGTACATTTCTCATATTAGTTCATTAGTTAATTGCTACATTTTTACATTTCTCATATTAGTTAATTAGTCAATTGCTACAATTTTACATTTCTCATATTAGTTAATTGCTACATATCTCATTAAAGTAAAAAAAAACTAGTTAATTTTTACATTTCTCATATTAGTTAATTAGTTAATTGCTACAATTTTACATTTCTCATATTAGTTAATTAGTTAATTGCTACATTTTTACATTTCTCATATTAGTTAATTGCTACATATCTCATTAAAATAACAAAACTAGTTAATTTTTACATTTCTCATATTAGTTAATTGCTAATATTTGTTCAATTTTAAAGATGGAGCGTGGTAGACATTCTGTAGATGTGGGTAATCTCCAACGCAACCGCAAGAGGGAGATTGCATCGACTCGATCTACTTCACGCAAAGGCAAAGGTAAAGCGCGGGTCGAGTCTTCTTTTCAAAGTCGAGATGATTTTGAAACGGATTACCAACGGCAAGATGGTATGATGATGTCCGACGAGGAACTACAACACCTATTGTCCCAAAATGATCCACGTTTTGCACAAGAACAGCAATTCCCGACAACCATCGATGAAGAGGAGCTCGAGGATGACGATGGGGAGGAGGACTCGGGGGGCGACGGGACTCCGGATGATGAGCAAGAGGACGAGGGCCCTTCAACGACTACAACCCAAATTGGTAAGAAATCTAAATCTCCTATTATTGAAAACAATTATACAAAAAGGAAAGACGAAAAAACCGAAAAATGGTACGCAAGTTGCAATCATTGCAAGAAAGAGTTTAGCTTGGGAATTTCTGGCGGATACGGGAGTCTCAAAAGACATCTTAAGTCCGCCCACTTTGTGGAGTATGCGAAAATAGACAAAGGAAAGGGGAAGCAAACACAAATATCAAGGTTTGCAAATTCTCAACCCTTTGGTAATTTTTCCTATGATGATAACAAACATTTGACTGGTATGTCTCATTTAATTGTTGAAGAAAATTTACCCTTTATTTTTTCCGAAAGTCTTGCTTTAAGAGATTATGCTCAAGGTACTTTAAATCCTCAATTTAGAAATTATAGTCGCAAAACGATTAAAAAAGAAGTTATAAGGCAATATAACTTGGAAAAAGAAAAATTACAAATATTTTTCGCAAACTTTGATGGACGTGTTAGTATTTGTAGCGATATATGGGAGGATACTTATCATCATTTATATTATTTGGGTCTAACTGCACATTATATTGATGATGATTGGAATATGCATAAACGTGTTCTTGCTTTTCGTGAATTCAATGATCGTCACACTGCTGATAATATTTATATTCTCATTGAACGTATTTTAATTGAGTATAATTTGATTGATAAGGTGTTTGCTGTAGGTTTTGATAATGCTAGTAATAATACTGCTGCTATACCTAGATCACGTGAATTGTGTGGTGCTTCTACATTGATGGGTAGATTTTTTCATCACCGTTGTGCATGTCATATTCTAAATTTATGTGTACAAGATGGCTTAGCGGCATTAGGAAATACTTTGGAGGTAGTCAAGGGGGGAATTAAATTGATTTGGGCTAACACTCCACTAAAAATGCAATGGCGGCAATATTTGAAGGATAGACGTGTGAATTATTGTGCTTTTCCTAAAGATTTGTCTATTCGTTGGAATAGTACTTATAATTTAATTCAAGTACTTGTTAGATATAAAGATCATTTTCCAGCTTTTTTAAGACAAACTTGTAACTATATTATAAACCCGGCTGACATCGACACTTGTGAAAAAATTGTTAATGTTTTGGCATATTTTAATAACGCAACTCTAACTTTTAGTCATGTTTATAAACCTACCGCAAACGAATTTTTTGTTGAAGCTGTTAATCTCGCCGGCGCTTTTTGTGAATTTTCCGATGCCACTTACGTTAGTTATTTTTGTGATTCACATATTCCGCATATATATGGTATTGCATTTGTTCTTGATCCTCGTTATAAACTTCCTTACTTGGCAAATTGTATAGATTACTATTATGCTTCTTTTTTTCCAACTCAAGAGTTCGATGATAATCCCATCGACCCTAAACAAGAATTCAACGAGGTTAGTAATTTATTTCATCAATTGTATAATGAATTTCATGCACAATATGGTAATGCACCCCCTCCCATGCAACGAACATCTTCTTCATCTAAAGGAAAATCACTTTTAAAATCCGCTTTTGGTTCTCTTTTGAAAAAAAGTAGAGCAACTCCCGCTACTGAACAAAGCTTAGGTAACGAGCTTTCTTTGTATCTAACATTGAATGTTGATTATGAAGTTGGTGATGACTTTGACGTTCTTAAGTGGTGGAAGGAAAATGAAAGAACATTCCCGATTTTATCAAAGATGGCTAAGCAAGTACTAGCAATGTCGATATCAACCGTTGCCGTGGAACAAGAATTCAGTGCGGCCGGCAACGTCCTAACCGATTATAGAACGAGGTTGAGCCCGAGCTCTCTTGAGACACTAGTTTGCTTTCACGATTGGTTGAAGGCCCAACGAAGAACTCAAGAAATTACCATCACTCCCTCCCGCCACTTTATGGAGGAAACAACCGAAGGCGGAGAGTCCGATTGATTTTTTATTACAAAATGTATTACATTTTTTAAATTCATCCTAATTCTCAATTGTACTTCTTATTTGAAATAAATATACTTCAATTCGAATATAATATATTGTAATTGTAATAAGAATTATTCTAATTATATAATATTTAAAAAAAAATTAAATAGGCCCGGCCCGGCCCGTGAACCGGGCGGGTGACCCGAACCGAACTGGACCCGGGGTTTTCCGGGCCGGTTCCGGGCCTGCCATCCTAGAACTGAGGCCCGGCCGGTTCTAGGCCCGAACCGGGCCCGGCCCGAACCGAGTCCACCACTACTCGTGCTTGATTAATTAATAATCATTCTTAAATAGTGAGAAACTGAGAATGAGCAAATGTACGTATCCGAGAGCTTTATATGTGAACTTGTATGTACCTCTCAACTTCATTTTGAACAATTAAATACGACATTATAAATTTAAGACATTTATACGCTTGCATTATGTATTACAAAACATACCTTTTAAGTATATATCAAAACATATGCAGTGCTTAACCATTTGGGAGATGTTCTAACAATACAAATTTTGTGTTTAATTATATTAATTATCAATTCAGGACCCGAAAGATGAAACGTATCAGTATAGGACCGAATGATGGAAAACTATCAATTTAGGACCTAAAGTTTCATAGGTTTTGATTTATTTAACTTTTATTAATTCCTAAATTGATAGTTTTTCATCATTCAGGTCCTATATCGATGCATTTTACCTTTCAGGTCCCGAATTGGGGGCAAGTGTTCCTCTATTTGTGTGCCTTCAGTATTTAGTAATTAATGTAAAAAGTATTGGAAAGCATAGACTTTCCAAATATCCTTGATTAATATAAAGATAGGATAGTTGTAGACGTGAGGGGGAGTCTCCTCACTTACACTACATTACAATCTTTTCCTTTAACCCAGTTTTATTTTTCAAATTCGGTTTTCTTTTACTTTGTAAGGTTTTTAATGAGGTAGCGATACATATAAACTTTAATGATCAAAGCAAAGATCAAATAAAGAAAGACTTAATGAAAGAAGTCTATCATGATCATGTACTCTTTTTCTCTAGTCAAGGTATATTTTTCCCACGGAGTTTTGAAGATGCAACAAGAATGTCAAGACATACGAAATTCTATCTACAACTCAGCATATGGGGGAGCGTCGAAGGAAATTTTGTGTTATGTGCTATCGTGTATATAGAATATGTGTTAGGATCATTCTATGTAAATCATGTACATTACGGGCCCATTAATCCATTCTTCTAAACCCTAAACTCTCCCTATTTATAGGGCACTTGGTAATGAAATCACACGCTCCATTCTCCCTACAACAAATATTACTTTTTCTTTAATGGTACTTGTTTCTATTTTAGTTCGAGTACGTTTGGTTTGAATATTTGGTTATTTGGAGTACTTTTGAAAGACAGTGTTTCGGTACGGTCATTTAGGCTTAAAATTGTCTATTTCCTATCGAGTGAGTCAGATTGCTTTGTATGAGCTGACTGAAACTATGTCTATTCTTATGGCCTACAATCGAATATGTAATAACGGGTATGAATGTTGTCTTATATGTTTTCTCGGTATTAATATAAACCCACTCTTTTATATTTAAAATGTGATATTTGTGAGAGACGATTGTGTTACTATTACTTGTGAAGATGCATTGATGCTATTGTGCTGCAGCGGTGTCAATGGGTGAGTGGGGTCACAGGTCGAAATGGCGGACTACTGCGGTATAACTAGGCGGGTGGATTCATTTGAAACATTTAAGTGAACATTTAAAAGTGAGAGTTATTTTATATTTGACTTGTTCTCTAATCACACACACACACACAGATATATATAAATATATATATATATATATATATATATATATATATATATATAGAGAGAGAGAGAGAGAGAGAGAAGGAGAATAATCTTCTGGTCAGGCCTTCCTGACCGGAAGTCCGGAACCGCCGTCCGGCCGACGGCTTTTGGGGTTCTTCTAGGTGGATTTTTTTGATTAAATTTTTATAGAATATTCTTCATCAAGGCTAGTTCATCTATACCAAATTTGAGCAAACAAATTCAATCGAAAGGCCGTCAAATGATTTTTGCAAGATAATTGAGCCGGAATATACATATAAAACACAGTTATCTTTCAAAAATCATTTGATGACCTTCCCGGTTGAATGTTTTGCTCAAGTTTGGTATGGATAAATTAGACTTGATGAAGAACATGCCATAAAATCCAGCGGGAAGAGCCCCAAAATCCGTCATCCGAACGGCGGTTCCGGTGAGGAAGGCCTGACATGAATATTTTTCTCTCTCTCCCTCCCTCTCTCTCTCTCTCTCTCTCTCTCTATATATATATATATATATATATATATATATATATATATATATATAGGGAATAGATCTGGTGAGAAGCTTCCTTGGGCTGAAAAGTGAGAAGCGATGGTGACCGTCCGATTAAAAGTGAGAACAACTTTAGAGCCATCAGATTATACTCCATCTCACGGCCTTTGCTCGTAACTTAAGAAAATTTGCCTGTTCTCTATTCAAATCGGTTTAAAATCTCTCTCTTCTCTGTGCTCTCTTCTCCGATGTTTCTCTCTACTTTTGCACTCTTAGAGATTTTCCTCACCAAAGCAACACAAAAATCAAAGCTAAGATTATTCCACACCAAAAGCAAAGGCACGTAGCAGTGAAGATTGATGACGAGTTCAAGTGAAGATTTCTCATCCCCAAAAGTTAACCCATGACCTTTATCTTGCAGGTTTTTTGAATAGATAGTACGATCTACTTTGAATTTAAGAAATTATCAAAATTGAGGTTGATTATCCAATTTATTGCTTATATAATCACATTTGTATGTTCTTTGTGTAATTTGTTTAATATTAGTGTTTTGTATGTATTTCTTAGACATAATCAACTAATTAGAAGTCTGGTGGAACTATGATACGATTTTTGCTCCACAACAGGAGTTTGGTTACAGTTTTATGACTTCCCTAATATTAATTATATTCAATTGAATGTTTTAAAGGTCGTGCTTATGTGAATTTTAATTCGAAATCATCATGTTTGAACATAGCAATTGATAAAGGTTTGCTCTATTGAACTTTTATTTGAAAAAATTTCAGTATTTGAGGGTTGAAATATTTAATTGAGTTACACCTGCCAAGTGTTCGTTGAAATGCTTGAACGATTAATATGTTAAAATAATTTTCAGGTAGAAAGTAGGTGTAGTCAGATTTAATTTTAGTTATACCTGCTAAGTGTCGAAACTTGTACTTTTATAGTTTATAAAGTATCAATTTCACATAGACTTAAAGTGAGTCTACAAGTTAATACTTTCTTTCTATAAGTTATGATTTCTTACTTTATTAGTTTATATGCTAACCTGAAAGAGTGCTTGATTATCTTTTGTAAAAGAACTTTCACTTATAAAGCATTCTGATTGTTTTGAGCTAACATAAGTATTCTGAATATTGTTTTTAATAACATCAGTTTCTCTTTTTTCTTTTAGAATGCCGCACAAAATAGAAGTAAATTTTGTACAAAGTTGTTAATTTTCTTATAATAGTTCTTAATATTAGTTTTGTACAAAGTTGTTAATTTTCTTTTAATAGTTATGAATATTACTTTAGAAGTTACATAAATTTATATATTAAGAACTTTCTCTTCTTAGCTAATAATAATTGTAAGTTTAATAATGTCAAAATTGTAAATTTAGTTACATTACAGTTGACAATAATATCAACATTTAGTAATTTGGGTGTTAGCTATGCTCAATAAACTTTACAAATTTTATTTGTCCCTTTAAAAGTATAGTGCATTTTGTTTGTATAGTTTGTACCACTTACTTTTGATCACATAAAAGTGCAATTTTATAGGTGTTCAGCTAATGTGAACCAAAAGTTTTGTACTTTTCTTGAGAAGTTATGATTTTGGCTATATTAGTCTATTAATAAAACTATGATTTACTTTTTTATCTTTACTTATGGCCTAAAACAAGTTTGAGCTAGCCAATTAGAATGATATTGTTAGGTGAAAAAGTGAAACAAAATCACTTAATAGTTATACATTTTTTATAAAAAGTTATAGCTTGTTATGAGTTTCTTCTATCCGCTAATGACTATAATAACAGTAACAGTTATTCCTTTGTTATTCTCTATCAGAAGTATTCTCTATTTTTGTTTTTTAATAAGCTTTGTTATTGCTTTGATTCACTTTGAGGGTTTCGACAAATGTAAGCTAAAAGTTGGATATTTAGCTTTAAAAGTTTTTATTTTGACTCTATTAGTGTATTGTTAATAATGAATGCATAATATGGCAATCAATTTATTTAAAACATTGGAATTGTAAGTTTTACAAGTCTGGAAGCTTTTAGTCTAAGTTGAATGTTTCTTATTCAAGTATCTTTGGTATGAATCTTGCTTGTCTGATTAATATAAGTTATTGAATATATGAAAAGTCTTGCTCTGTTCGTTGTTCTACTCTGTAAGTTCCACAAATCATGACCAAAAGATTCTTTAAAACAGAGTATATACTCTCTAGTTTCTTTAAAGTTTGTTTTCAATCATTGTATATGCCAAATATGATTGCTTCTATTCCCCAAACATGTTCAATCATTCAATATAAATGTGTGATCTACTTTAACTCTAGGTGTGTATGAATCAGAATTGAGTTAATAGAAACATTGTTGAGCTTCAGGTGAAATACGTTTAATACGTGCAAGATAAGCAGCGTTTATTTGTTTTAAAAATGGCATGTTACATATCAAAATTAACAACTTTAGAACTATGATAACTAAAATGACCAATAGATCATTATGGTCAACTTTTAAACATAATGTCATAACTTTTTAAGACGGAATATTGCATATTTGTTTTACAGCCTATTAGCTCAATTGGAAGAGCATCGTGTGACCACACGAAGGATGTGAGTTTGAATCTCACATAGGCAATCTCAACAAGTGGATGATTTATTTTTTTCCCAACTTTAATTTCATGTAGATGTTGCATTTATTTTAAATGTAGAATCTAATAGATGCTGCATATGTCTTAATTAGAGTTGGGAT